TCTTACCGGGAGAAAAAAATGAGTAAAAATTGTTCATGTGTTTGTTTGTAGGTCCGTAAATCCGTCTCGTTATTTGTAGTTTGTCGCGATTGTATATTTTCCTCTGAAATTCGTTATTTTTTTATCGTTTAAAATACTAGTACAGATGCTCCGCCATCTTTTTTCACCTGTTATTTTACTTAGGAATACTTATTTTACTACATTACTGTTATGACATTTCATGTGTTTTTACACAAAATTGCTGTGTTTATTTCTAAGAAATGAAAATAAAACATGTTATTGATGTTAGGCATGCAATTCGATTTTATACACAGCTCAAGACTCGAGTGGTTGAAAGGTTAATTGCATGGCCTTAGCAATCAATTGATTTCTTATAAATAAAATTCTGTTTTTAATCAAATATTTATGTAATAGGGCAGAAAATAGTTTACATGATATTTTTTTATTGAGCATTGAACAGACATTGGCTAAGATGTTAATTTTGAAAAGAAGCACTTGCGCTCGGCTTATCAAAGTCTGCAAAGGTTTATCATACATGAAATATTTACTATAAAACCAGATAAACATTATTTACAGATGGTACACGAGACAGCATTTGATTTATCATTTATAACAGAACCAGAATATCCGGAAGCATATTGAAATAACTAACAGATGCTGCAACATAGTTCTTGTCATAATTAAATCGTATATCATTTGATCGAATAAAAGGTTTTTATACTATTATAATTAAACACCTATTGCTATGAGGGGAATGTAAAAAAGCTCATTATAATATTGATACTACTGTTACTATAGTTATTGTTACAGGGGAAATGTGTTCTGATATATACTTGTATTTCCCAATGATACAATTAAAATTATTTCCCCCTAATACGTGCAATTGTGTTTTTTCTCTCTCTCTCTCTCTCTCTGAAAAAATGTAATATTCTGGAATAAAACTTTGTAATTCAACTTTATTTGAGGTCAATTATTATTTTTTTGAATTTCATAAAATAGTCTCCAAATGAAAATAACACTTTATAAATTGTATGCGTTTAAACTGCTTTTCTGGATTTATCTTCATCAGAAACAAGCAAAGCCAAATATTTGAAAGTCAAGGATCATGATGTATATGAACCGAAACACGCGAAGAGTTTTAAGACCAAAAGGGACCTAAAATAATAGCCAAATCCATAGATGGCTAATGATACAGTCCACAAGCACAGGTTTCAACCCGGCCAGTGCTATAAAAATGAAAATAAAAGAACAGAGTTCCAATGTCCCTGGCGTTGTCTATCCAGGAGCAATAACTAATAAAAACACTTTTTTTTTGTTGTTCTTTCAAACAATTTATAAATAAAAACCGTGCGCGGTGGACAAAAAATTATTTTTTATTGTATACTAAATATTTCAAACAGACCTTCAAGGGCATTACTTATAATATACTTTAAGTTTTATAAAAAAATGTATCCGTGAGAGCGCTAACGAGGCCATTTTCCATCAATTTAATATTTCCAAGGGTTATAACTCTTTTAAAAAAAAGTCGATTGTCCACCATTATAGAACTTGTCCGAGATATTGCTGATATTAACCTATAGTATAAGTTTTATAAAAATCTGCCAAGAATTGTACCCGTGAGAGCGCTCACGAGTCCATTTTCCATAAATTTAATATTTCCAAGGGTCATAACTCTTTTAAAAAAGTCGATCGTCCACCTTTAAAGAACTTGTCCGAGATATTGCTGATATCAACCTATAGTATAAGTTTTATAAAAATCTGGCAAGAATTGTACCCGTGAGAGCGCTCACGAGGCCATTTTCGATAAATTTAATACTTCCAAGGGTCATAACTCTTTTAAAAAAAGTCGATCGTACACCATTAAAGAACTTGTCCGAGATATTGCTGATATTAACCTATAGTATAAGCTTTATAAAAATTTGGCAAGAACTGTACCCGTGAGAGCGCTAACGATACCATTTTCCATAAATTTAATATTTCCAAGGGGCATAACTCTTTTTAAAAAAGTCGATCGGGCACCATTATAGAACTTGTCCGACATATTGCTGATATTAACTTATAGTATAAGTTTTATAAAAATCTGGTAAGAATTGTACCTGTGAGAGCGCTAAAAAAATCGGACGGACAGACGGACGCCCGGTATTTCCATGTCCCCCGCAATGCGTTACGCCATTGATTTTGGTTACACAAATTCACGGTAACATATATACCGAAAGTCGAAAAAAAATGACAATTCCAAAACAGTGTTAGTTATCAAAGGTGACATTATGCATGTATGGCTGCATTTTTCTACTGTTAGTTCTGATTTCATTCGTGTAGCATTTGTCAGTTTCTGTAAGTTTATTCACCTTAAATGTTGGCAGTGGCTGTATTTATATTATTAATATACTGATTTTTGCTTTGATGTTGTGAATGCATTGTGGTTACTTACAACAATCAGACACGCATGCATATAGATGTATGTAATAGATCATCATTTGTACACTTACAACAATCAGACACGCATGCATATAGATGTATGTAATAGATCATCATTTGTACACCTATAATAATGGTAACAACAATGATAGACGAATGTTTGACGTCCAGTGGCAACTTTAACATACATATTCTTGGTAATATGCAATATGTGAAGTGTTCATGAACCTCCTGTTGTACACTCAAAGGATACATTTAGTTAATATTTTAATGGTTAACCCCGGAGTTAAAATCCATGGGAAAACAGTCATCATAGCCAGAAATTTTATTCTGACTGGTCTTTGCACTTACTCTAAACATCCGCTTTCTTGACTGAGAAAGAAAACCAATATACCACTCTTTTGCTTTACCCTAAAAGGCATCGAACACATGACATCCCGTACAATAGGCTAACACAATGTTGCGAGACCTTAGAGGAGTTTATACATAAATGTAAGAAGATGTGGTATGAGTGCATACATATATAATGAGAGTTAAACTTTGATTATATGATGTTATAATACATAACCTACGATTAAAAAGTTCGCTTCGTCCCAAGGTTATAAGATGGATCATAACTATACAACAGGACTGAAATTGAACTCTAGTGCGAAATGGACCTACATTTTGGTCGCTCAGTATCTGAGATCTAACTGGGAAGTAAAACTAAATACAAGTCCGCGAACCATAAAACGTGGATCAAAATGATTTTCTTTTGTGGGATGACTGTTATCCCTTATATCCATTCTTACATCAAGTAAAATTAGTGTAGTTTATTTTGTGTCTGAGATCTGAACACAGACGCAATATCTAATCCAAGTAATTGTTGCGTAAAGGTAGCTCAGAGTAACCTCCATTTTTTAACATGCCACTATACCCATACACTATACCCTACTATATGATAAATAACGGAGTAAAGAAGTCGATTTCTTCCATTCGACGATAAAACTCAATGCTTAAGAGGGGCGGTCACGTGAGGGATGTATAAATACGCAGCAACGTCCGGTCAGAATGATGTCTAGTTCAGCGAGTGTTATGCTCTATGTTCCTTAGGGAACCCTTGCAACAAGTCTTTGAGGGTTCCGTATAGGGCTTGATACAAACAAAAGTCTGCTCCTATCTAGCTTATCCTCTGCTATGCAAGGGTTTGTCTTAATGTGCCACCGTTCAACCAAGTTTATTCAATCATCATTAAACCTAGTTAATTGGTTATAGGTTACTTTCTATCTGAAATTAATTGGACATTTATCAGCGAAACGTGACTTTCTTCTTGCTGCATGCCACTAAAACACCAAGTTGTATGATAGTAAGTATACTTTTTGTCATTATATAAACACTCTTCATAGTTCAAACTGTAGAGCAAGTATGGAGAACTTCCTCAATTGTCAAAAGAAATTCAATTGATTGAACAATAAACTATTGTTAACAGATGTATGTGAAAGTCTTTTTTGATATCATCCTTAAGGAAGGCAAACCTTTTCACAACTTAAAATTACCCCGGTAATGTAAAACTTATTATATAGTTTGGTTTCAATGTATATATGTCATTTTATATATTTGTCGAATGTTGGTCCGTGGCTATTATAATTTTTTCCTCATATCTCTTTCTAATCACGCATATTTCTAAAAATCAAGTCTATTTTTGTCCATATTACGTATGAATGTGGGAAATGTATTCATGAAGCAACAAACAAAGAACACAATTAACCTAGAAAAGACATTAAGGAGTCAACATACGGTCATAGATTGATTTCTATTCACAGGATTTGCTTTATACAGTAAATATAACGCAGCAAGATTCTGATATTAAAATGAAAATAAAATCAGTAGAGTAATACCTGCGATGTAATGTTTAGTATAAAAAGCAAAGCGATTATATTAATCGATTTTCTTTAGGATACTTAAATTGATTATATGGTTGTATTTTCTAAGATCAATTTCTGTTTATTTGGTGTGAAACTCGCTTATTTTCCAGTGTGTTGAAGTGTCACATCACTTGATCAATAATTTAACACATCTATGTTCTGTTGATATTGTCAGCTTAATTGACTGAATGCTAAAACTTTTTAAACCATTGCAATACAACAAATTCAAAATTATCCTCATAAACATTGTAAAAATGGTTTGTTCGGTAATGATAATTTAATATGATGAGGGAAGTGATGAAAAATACACATGTACGTATAACTTAGTTATGTTGTCATATTATGAGAAGGGTAAGAATTAACAATAGAAAATATGTAAACCAAGTGTTTTCCTTTACGCATGTTAGTGAGTTATACACTCTAGATTTGTGTTAGATATAAAACTGACTAATGTAATAAAATTCATATTTCCTTCAAAGTACAACTTAAAATGTTTATACATATATATATAACTAACGACTGTAAGACTGAATTAATTATATAAGTAAAAAAATTAAGAAATTTATTTCACCACATCATTTCTTATTATAACAACGTATGCTAACTATTTATTGTACTGTGAAAAAAATGCCTAAAATAAGAGTTGATAGAAAAAAAATAATACATAATTTGACTAACCTGATAAACATCTCCACTCCAGTTGATTCGATGCATCTTTTAATTCCTTTCCAAGACTTTTTCAATTTAAATACTTGTCTAGCATCTAATGGTAGTCGTGGATCGGTAGGAGCTGGTGGAGGCGGCTCGGGTATAGAACCATCCGCCATTACCTCTACATCCTCAGTTATTGTCGGCCTCGACTTGATTTCTGTTTGTGAATACTGACAGCCCATTATCATATCCTCGTATCGTAGGTCGATAATCCCATTCAATTCTGTTTTACATGAATTTCCTTCACTATTTAATCAATCTTTATGAAGGTAATTTTAAATCTGCTAAATAAAATATATTATTATGTATATTTTGATTATAAATAGTCCTAGACTAAGTGATTATCTGTAAATATATGAAGTATGTCGCATATAAAATATTATATAAATGATAATAATAAATTCATGTTGTGTGCATTATAGATATATTTCGATTATCACAGTTTTTACGAACGCAAGGTTATAAAACTAGCAAAACTTAATTATCTACAATATTAGCAATCTGTGTATACAGATGATTTGAGTAATATTGATAAGAATCTTCTTTCTTATACTAAAGACATAAAAAAACCTGGGGAGTCACGATAAGAATTGGCTTGCAACAAATATTATAAATTCCAAGGTAATAACAAAAAAAGGGGGAAGTCAAAATCATTAGAAAAACGGGAAAAACGGTTAAAATACATAAATCAATTGCTTGGAGAAAGATTAAAAAGTAATGTGTTAAACTAGGTTCTTTTGGTGGATCCTTCAACTATTTCAAAGCATTCGAAGGTTCCGCGAGTTGAAACCCTCTGAACAAAACAAATACACCCAAGTAATAAAACAAGATTCAACGTGGATCATCACCTCATATCAAATCGAATCGCGTCGAAATTGACCAAAACTGACTGAAGTACTCAGTACATGAGTAGGAGAAGGAAGTCTAAAAAAGTAATACTGTATCAGAAATCTTGCCTTCCAAAAGTACGCTTACTGTCCACAAAGCCGTTTATGCCATGTTTGATTTACATTCGATTCAATGCCTTTTCTATCACATATCAATTGGATTCACGCAACCAGTTTAAACGACAATGTCGGAGGTTGACGCAAATGTTGAATTTATTCGAAAAGGCTAAAGTGTTTCTACATCAATGCATAGATTGCCTTAGCCGTGTTTGTCACAACTTTTGTTTGCTCTTATGGTGTGCTGTAACACCAGTTTCCCAGATTAGGGGAAGGGTTGAGCGCTCACAAACATGTTTAACCCCGCCACATTATTTATGTGCCCAGCCCAAGTCCGGAGCCTGTAGTTCAGTAGTTGTTGTTAGTTCATGTCTGTCATATTTATTTTTCGTAAATTACATTTTTATAAATTGGGCCGTCAGTTTTCTCAATAGAATTGTTTCATATTTTTTTCTCATTGTTGAAGGCCGTACGTTTGCCTTTAATTTCTTACATCCACATCATTTGAACTTTGTTGGATAGTTGTCTCATTGGCAATCATACACCATCTCCTTTTTTTTATATTCAACGTCAAATTTGATTTGGCCTTCCATAACTGTTTTCATTCGAGCACTACTGATGAGTTCGTTCGAGCACTACTGATGAGTTTTTAATGTACATGGAACGACCGTCTGACATACCTAATTTATAGGCCTGGTATTTTTGACAAAAGAATGCACTCTTTTGTCGGACCAAGATTTTTTTTTTAAACTTGAGGTTAATTAGTTACAATTTTGCATGAAATTGAATTTAACTTGTAATTAAGTATTTATTTTAATTAGAAGTACAGTCATGTAAAATTTCAGTAATCGATTAATCCACCATATTGGAGATAAGGAAATGCCTGTACCAAGTCAGGTATATAACAGTTGCTTTCCATTCGTTTGATGTGTTTGAACTTTTGATTTTGCCTTTTGAGGGGACTTTTCGTTTTGAACTTTCCTTGGAGTTCGGTATTTTGTTATTTTACTTTTTACAATGAAAACATGCCATACAATGCCGAATACATTTTAATGACATATGTGGTTCGTTTTTGGCTTCTTTAAATATAAAGAATGTGCATATATGTACATATCCATTATTATAGTATTAATTAATGGGTGTTTTCTTAATGGCCCTGTTATATGTCGAAGGTCTGTAATAAAGGTCTGAAGATGTCTGTAATGGTCCTAAAATTAAGGAACAATACAGCATCAGAGGCCAGCATTACTGACACAGGACATGTTACACGGCCATTTTAAAAACACCCATTACTTAGTACATTTATTAACCAATTAAACAGGAAATATTTGTTTAACCAACTAAGTAAATTATTTTTAAAATGCCAAGTTTTAACTAAAATCGAAACAGTGCCTATTATAGCAAAAAAAGCATTATTACGGGACCATTATGGATAAAACCAATCATTATCATTTTTTGTTGTTCAAACATTCATACTTTTAAACGTTTTGTACCAATAGAACTACAATTTAAACAATGTTGAGATGAAAGATATTTGCGATGTTGATTTTCTGTGATCGATGATTACTCAATTGAGTAGAGTGATCCCTGGAAACAGTTAGCCCTTTTAAAATTTTGTTTTGTTTCACAATGACTGGCTTTATCCACGATGGTCCGGCAATAATGCCCTGTTGGTTGTAATAGGAAATTTTTCAATTTTTGTTAAAACTGGACATTTGAGCAATAATTTACTCAGTTGGTTAATAAACTTTAATAATCTAGATATTTTACTCCAAGATATTGGAAAGGAGTAAAATTAAAGATCAACAGTAACAAAGGTGGAGTAATTTTACATGTATAGATCTTATACTACACTGGAAAAATGGTGGTTAGATGCTAAACACAATTCTAAACATATTTTTTGTTCCTTTTTTGAAACACGTCTAGATCTAAACATGTTTAGATTGCAGAAAGTGTTCAGGGTTGTGTTTAGGCTTTTGTTCAGCTTAGAAATTAGTATTTAAATCCTGAACACTTTAATTCCGAAACACATTTAAAAGTGTTTATATTCAAGACATGTGTTTATATTCAAGGCATTTGTTTGCACCTGTCCTAAGTCAGGAATCTGATGTTCAGTAGTTGTCGTTTGTTGATGTGGTTCATAAGTGTTTCTCGTTTCTCGTTTTTTATATAGATTAGACCGTTGGTTTTCCCGTTTGAATGGTTTTACACTAGTAATTTTTTGGGGCCCTTTATAGCTTACTGTTCGGTGTGAGCCAAGGCTCCGTGTTGAAGACCGTACTGTGACCTATAATGGTTTACTTTTATAAATTTTTACTTGGATGGAGAGTTGTCTCATTGGCACTCATACCACATCTTCTTATATCTATTTACATTCAATGTGCTTACTTAGAAATGTGTTTAGATATTAAACATAACCCTAAACACGTTTAGTACTAAACATGTAATACAAGTGTTTAGTTTTCTAAGCTCGATTTTTACTGTGTATTAAACGAAATCAATGTTAAATATTAAAATTTTAATGAGTTTATAGCTAAATAAATATGTTCTTTTATCAGAAAGTAAATATTAAAAAAGGATATTCACAATTAAGTTTAATCTATAGGAAATTGATCTTGAATATGTAAACATGTTGAAATTAAAATGGAAATTTTTATTAAGCATCATATATTTTATCAATAAACTTAGACACCAAATTGATAATACACAAATGACATTAAGTGGACTTAAACTGTCTTGTATAAATAAGGCCGTAGGTTTTCTCGTTTTAATTGTTTCACGTGTTTCATGTAAGGGCATTTTATAGATGGCTATACGAGTATGGGTTTTTTTCTCAATGTTGAAGGACGTACCGTGACCTATGGTTGCTTTTGTCTTCGTGATTTGAACTCGGGTGAATAGTTTTCTTATATGCCATCATATCACATCTCCTTATTCTTATATTAAAAGTATTATTCTTAAATCATATTCTTGTATAATCCAGTTATTTTCAAAGACAGTACAGAAATATATTCATCTTCAATAATGAGAAAAAAATTAATTCATCCTATAGTTACATAGTCTAGAATATGTACAAAAACATGAGAAATATGCACCATCTAATGCAAAATAGTAAGGGTTATATCAGCGCTCTAATGTTTAAAGTTGGTGATCATTTACCCAGGGTTCCCTGGATCAATTTCTTTTTTTCGCCACCTCTTTCGCCACTCTGAATTTTTTTTCACCAACTAACATAATCAGATTTTTGTTCAGGACTTGTTTTCCATCTTGCTAACAAACAAATCCAGTTTGTAGCATTGTGTTATTTATTTTATCATCATTCTACATATCTATTTTATAACCTACATTGTAACAAATGAACACTAAATTAGAACAAAAAATTCTTGCAAAAATTAAAATGTAAAATTTGACTTCTGCGAACACATGATTCATCTTCAGTTCATCATTAATCAGTTTATTATCAGCTCAATAGTCATAACTTCAGCAGTGACCATTATTGATTATATTCAATTTCAATTAATTGTTATAAACTTAAGTTTTTTACTAATTCAGGAAAATAAATGCCTTGTTCTTAGTTTTTTTTTCCCTGTATGGTTACACACAATGCATATTCGACATTCACTGTGTTAGTTACAATCAGAGAATTGCTTAGAACGTTTAATAGATGTATTAATTTTCATCTAATTTAAAATTAGTAACAAATACATATGTGAAGGGACTTCTGGGTAAATGGGTTTTATGTTGTCGTTTGTTGGAGTGGTTCATAAGTGTTTCTCGTTTCTCGTTTTTTGTATAGATTAGACCGTTGGTTTTCCTGTTTGAATTGTTTTGCATTAGACTTTTTGGGGCCCTTTATAGCTTGCTGTTTCGGTGTGATCCAAGGCTCCGTGTTGAAGGCCGTACTTTGACCTATAATTGTTTACTTTTTACACATTGTGACTTGGATGGATAGTTGTCTCATTGGCACTCATACCACATCTTCTTATTTGTATTTTTATGTGTTTTTCTTGTTCAGCATAATGTGTTGTTTTTCTCTTTTGAGTTGTTTTACATTTAGCCATGTTGGGGGCTTTTATAGCACTATACGACATGGGTTTTGCACATTGTTGAAGGATGTATTGTGACCTGTAGTTGTTCATATCCTTGTCCTTTAGTCTCTAATGGATAGTTGTAACATTGGCAATTATAAGACGTTAAGTAACCAACAATCAATCAATAAATCAATCCAGTATAATATATATATAACCCATAACACATTTATAGTTTTTTTGCTCAATGTAAAAACATATTTCCTTAAATATATATATTTTTTTATTTATTTGTTTATTTTTGTTGATTTTTGTTTTTTTTTGTTTACTTTGTTCTGGAAGCGAACATTCTAGTTTATTCATTAAAAAATGTAGGACAACGGAGTTGGCGTACGTGGGTTCGATCCCACCGTAGGCATTCATTTATATTTGTTGGTGTAAAGCGGACAGTTTAGCTTAGTGCCCCCGCGCTGACTCTGTTGTTCCTGTGTCTAAAAATTCAGCAAGCAGCGACCAAGTCTTGCTTTCTTTCTTTTTTTCTTTCTTTCTTTTCGAAGTCCAGATGTAACAAAACCATGGCATAGTTGTGAAAATTATGCATAAATAGCTATGGTATATTTTCGGTTACTGAAATTTATACTCGGGTTGCATTCCCATATGCTCCATTGTACAGCTATAGGTTAACGTTAATTAACATGATTCATATTAAAAAGATTCCTCTGTATTAGACAATTTAACTAAAACGTATCAGTAAGCTGTATTGAAGTGGTTGAGACAACAAAATATGTCGGTAGCTCAGTTATCGATAAGGAAAACAATACGGAGGAAAAAGTAATCATTTCACTTGTTACAGGAAGGAAATCGTGTAATTTTTATGCACAGTATCGATTTTTTTTTATATTCATTAAAAAAAAAATGGATTTAGAGATTAAATACACACGCAGCAATATATACAGAAATACACGAACTATACAAATATGGATGACGTCATGCTTTAATAATTCGAATTTATTATTGTTATGTTATGGTGATTTAACTGACTCTTTAATTGAGGAAGTCAAGAACACACGAATTTAGGCAAAGTAGTCTGAAAACGACCGGATGAAATTCGAATATCCGCAACGATTCAAAAAAAAAAATCAACTGAACTGTGAATATCAGTTTCAATTATTCCGGCATGACCTTTCAAGTTATGAAAATACCATTATCTAATTAAAGCATGGGAAATTAGTCCTGTAGACTAGAGAAGGGTATACTCAATTTGTAAAATTTGTACAGTGTCTAGAGTAGAATGATATTTTTCGATATTTCAGTGTATCGTAATACAGGTTCGTACATTTGAAACTCATGTTAGATATCATAGGAAAGGAGGGATGACACATTCTATTTTTAGTAATTGTGTGCCGCAAACATCAGGTGCGGTCACAATTTTATAAAATAAACGTCAACATCCTAATCATCATAATTCAGAGCTCTTGAACTTCAGATCATTGAGATAGTTTTGTTGTAATAAGAATTTCAGCAATTTCAGCTTTAGTTTTAATAGTTGTTGTTTACTTTTCCAATAAAGATATATTTTGGAAGAAACAAACTTTTCGTAGTTCTGTATGTAAATACACTGGGAGCACCCAATCATGTTTATTTCGAGGGAAAGGCTGGTAATTTAATATTAATTTGAACTAGGTTTCCATGATCAAAATTTATTAACCCAGCTCGATCGATAACCAACATGTAATCATTATTGTAATCTAGATATATTTTTTTCACTTCAGAATTGTAAAAAATATGCTCACCAAGACATTTGTAGATGACCTATTTTAATGTTTGTCCTTCCGTGTTTTATATAATAAGGTGTTTCCACCTTTCCGTGGGAAGACCTTTAGATTTTGTTCTGAATACTAATTTTTTCTTCTACCACTTGTCAAGTGTTGCTTTTTTTTCGCAACATGTCGATAAGATATTTTATATCGAACAGTTATTGCGTTTTTGGATCTCACCCTTTTTAACCGAACACTTTTCAACATTAGAGTTATCTCCCCGTATCCTGTTTTTCTTGTTTATTCAAGACTACAATACATGTAATTTTAGAATAATTTTATAAAGCTTTGAACAAAATACATAAGGTTCGAACACAGGCCAGGTCAAACCTGGTATTTGCTGCTTCTCTGCGAAACACTCGGCATTAAGGAGTAAGAGCAAAGAATGATCAGAATAATGATTTCCGGGTAGGATGACATGTCTTCCTGTGGACTGTTACCTTGTGAACAAAACTTTTAAAAACCTCAGATAGTCGGTCTAGAACAATTCAGGGTTAATATTCATATTACATTAACATGTTCTCGTCCTGAATATGCTTTTAAAATGCCGCTTGGCGTTAAAAAAAAGTACAGCCCCCCTCCTCCTCCTCCTCCTCCTCCTCCTCCTCCTCCTCCTCCTCATCATCATCATCATCATCAATTATTTTATATTCATTTAAAAAAAAATGGATTTAGAGATTAAACACACACGCAGCAATATATACAGAAAAAACACGCTAAATATCAATATGTAAAGTTGTGAAAACACTATTCAAATGTATATTTGTTGTTTTAAGCCCCTTCTATATCTAAGTTTCACTAGGTTTCATAAACTCCGATTTAGGCTTCGTAAATTAAAAAACAAAACAATACAATTGAAATTGGTCATACCACTTGCAATGAGTATAAATCGATAAAAAAAAGTTCTAAACGTCTTTTTTTAGTTATAATCCTTTTATTCTTCAGTGACACATATGAAAGCCCTGTAAACAAGAAGGACGCAGAATTGAGCTATCTCTTGTATTTGGGTCATCCTGCCTAAAAGTGTACAACTCTAAAGATTTCAAAATGTCAACATTTTATCAATTTTTTTTCTTTTTTTCTTTTTTGATTTACCGTCTGTCTGATTAACACATTTCGATCAACTAATAGATATTGAATTCTTTTAAGAATGGCCATTGAAAGTTAGTGTATGCCTACCTGTCATATGCATTCTATAGCTCGCAGTAATAATTATACACATATCCGAATTCTTTCTACCCGGTTTAATTCCTTTCTATAAAGCGACATAGGATACACATATTGATAGATATGATTTTTTTGTATGAGGAAATATTTACTTATCATTTTCACTTGGGATCTTATCTTGACATTATGAAATATAAACAAAACTAACGATAGTTCAACGAAGACTGTATTTTATTAATGAGTACTCATTTCTTTTCTTCTCGGAAAAAGGATTATGAAAATTATTTTTAATTGCAATCTTTTAAATCGTACATCATTGGACAAATATAGCAACCCCCGTTTTTTTAAAATACTAGGTGTTAACCACCTTTACTACCAATGAGGGTCTCGCACGGTCGTTTTTTTTTTAAATGAAAACTAATGTTTTGCTATCGCTCGGATCATTCTATGGTTTTTGTCGAGCCTGCGACTTTTGTCGCAGAAAGCTCGACATAGGGAGAGTGATCCAGCGGCGGCGGCGGCGGCGGCGGCGTTAGCTAACTTCTTAAAAGCTTTATATTTTAGAAGCTGGAAGATCTGGATGCTTCATACTTTGTATATGGATGCCTCATGTTACGAAGTTTCCGTTAGTCACATGTCCAATGTCCTTGACCTCATTTTCATGGTTCAGTGACTACTTGAAAAAAAAGTTAGTATTTTTCGTAATGTTAAATTCTCTCTTATTATAAGTAATAGGATAACTATATTTGGTATGTGCGTACCTTGCAAGGTCCTTATGCCCGTCAGATAGTTTTCACTTGAACTCGACCTCATTTCATGGATCAGTGAACAAGGTTAAATTTTAGTGGTCAAGTCCATATCTCAGATACTATAAGCAATAGGTCTAGTATATTCGGTATATGGAAGGACTGTAAGGTGTACATGTCCAACTGGCAGGTGTCATCTGACCTTGACCTCATTTTCATGGTTCAGTGGTTATAGTTAAGTTTTTGTGTTTTGGTCTGTTTTTCTTATACTGTATGCAATAGGTCTACTATATTTGGTGTATGGAATGATTGTAAGGTGTACATGTCTAGCGGGCAGGTGTCATCTGACCTTGACCTCATTTTCATGGTTCAGTGGTTATAAATAAGTTTTTGTGTTTTGGTCTGTTTTTCTTATACTGTATGCAATAGGTCTACTATATTTGGTGTATGGAATGATTGTAAGGTGTACATGTCTAGCGGGCAGGTGTCATCTGACCTTGACCTCATTTGCATGGTTCAGTGGTCAAAGTTAAGTTTTTGAGTTTTGGTCTTTTTTTCTAATACTATATGCAATAGTTCAACTATATTTGTTGTATGGAAATATTTTATGATCTATATGTCAGTCACGCAGGTTTTATTTGACCTTCACCTCATTTTCAAGGTTCATTGCTCAGTGTTAAGTTTTTGTGTTTTGGTCTGTTTTTCTTAAACTATAAGCAATAGGTCAACTATATTTGTTGTATGGAAGAATTGTTAGCTGTACATGCCTGCCTAGCATGGTTCATCTGACCTTGATCTCATTTTCATGGTTCATTGGTCAATGTTTAGTTTACTTGGTTAATGTTAAGTTTATGTGACAGTTGTAATAAAGCTTTATATTTAGGACTATCAACATAAAGAAGAAGTAAAGAAGGCGAGACATTTCAGCGTGTGCACTCTTGTATTAAATGATATGAGAAAATCATCCCTAATACGGATAAATCAGCATGTTCAATACTGATGACGTTGCCCTGTCGATATAAATCAAGAGTAAATATTGCTTTTCGGACAGGGCCAATACGGAAAAAAAAGACGTATTGGCCCATGGGCTAATACGGGACGTTCACTTCCGGTTTCAATTTTTTTACGCCTTACTTAACTTTGGACATATCGTTATGCATAAAAAACATTTGTATTATATTTTTTTTAACTTAAAATCATAAAATAAAAAGTTTAAATGATGTTCAGTGTTTTGTGACGTCTTGAAGTCTTGAAACGGAAATATTTCACAGCCTTTTCGAGTACGACTTTCGATTATTGACACTGTTTCATTTCCGTTGATCAATCATCAGAACGCAGATGATCCAAGAGTAAGAATAGTTAAACTGTCTGATTTATTATTCCCAGCTACTTTATATTTGCTAGATAAAATGAATTGTAATAGCATAATATCAAGTACTTGGACGAGAAATCAGAAATTACATCTGACAATGTTGACAAAAAATCCATGGACGTGAATGCGAAAAGACAAGTTCAGATATGAAATTATGTATCTTCTTCACGGTAAGTTTCTTAGTTTATTCTAATTAAAAAAATTAAAATCATTTAATAAAAGTGTTATGCACTGGCTGTTTCTGTATTGGCCCTGTTATAGATTCTCGATCAGCTGTATTGGCCCTCGACTCTGCGAGTCTCGGGTCCAATACAGCTAACCTCGAATCTATCTATAACAGGGCCAATACAGAAACAGCCAGTTAATAACACTATAATATTAAATCTAGAATTTAATCCATTTGATCGAGGTAGAGGATTGTGGAAATTTAATCATTCATTATTGTATGATCCAGAATATATAAGGATTGTTAAAGAAAAAATAGTAGAAGTTAAAAAACAATATATAACACCTGTTTATAATCTAGATAGAATTGAAGACATAAATAATGAAGATTTCCGTTTTAATATTAACAGTCACTTATTTCTTGAGACATTGTTGATGGAAATTAGAGGGAAAACTAAATCTTATTCAAGTTATAAGAAAAAAAAAAAGAAAAACAAGACAAAGATCTTAGAAATGAAATCCTAACTTTGGAAGAAAAAGTAGATGAAGGTTCAATACAGATTTTGGAAATAAAAAGTATAAATTATAAAATATAAGAAAAGAAAAAATTAAAGGGAAAATAATTCGATCAAAAATGCAATGGGTACAAGTAGAAGAGGGTGAAAAACCTACTAGCTATTTTTGTGGGCTAGAATAAAAAAAAATTACAGTTAGATAATACCAAAAGTAGAAAAAGAAAATTGAGATGTAATTTCAAAACAAAAAGATATTTTGAAAGAAGTGAAATCTTTTCATGAAAATTTATATAAGAATAAAGATCAGTCAAAGGGAGATAAATTCAGTAATTTTGAAGAAGGATTGAAAGATATAAAGTTTAAAAAATTAACTGATGATGAGAAAAATAATCTTGAAGGTAAAATAACAATTGAAGAAGGTGGTTTGATATTGAAAAATATGAAAAATAATAAAACACCAGGATCTGATGGTTTCTCCACAGAGTTTTTTAAAATTTTTTGGAAAGATTTGAAAACTTATGTTGTAGACTCCTTGAACTACAGTACTGAGATTGGTAAACTATCTGTTACGCAAAAACAAGGAATCATAACATGCATTAAAAAATTGGCAACCTATATCTTTATTAAATACAGTTTATAAAATTAGCTCTGGAGTAATAGCAAAACGCTTTAAAACAGTTTTAGATAAACTGATAGATTTCGATCAAACTGGATTTATTAGTGGGAGATACATTGGAGAAAATCTTCGTTTAATTTATGATATTATGCAATTTACTGAGGAAAAAGATATTCCAGGACTTTTATTGCTCATAGATTTCGAAAAGGCATTTGATTCGATTTCTTGGGAATTTTTAACCAGTGTCCTGAAATTGTTCAATTTTGGAGAATCAATAATTAATTGGATTAAAGTTTTTTATAACAATATTAAATCAGCTGTTAATCAGGGAGGACATCTATCAGAATTTTTTTTTTATAGAACGAGGCTGTAGACAAGGTAATCCCTTGTCGCCTTATATTTTTATTCACTGTGCTGAGATATTAGCACTAAAATACGAAATAATGATAAAATAAATGGCATTACAGTTACTCAAGTTCAGCACAAACTTTCACAATTTGCTGATGACACATCTCTTATTTTAGATGGTAAAGAAGAATCTTTGAATGAAGCATTAAATAAGTTAGATTGGTTGGGAAATATATCTGGTTTAAATATTAATTTTTCTAAAACACAAGTTATTTGGATAGGAAATAAAAAAGTATAGTAATGAGGTATTATGCCAAAATAGAAACCTTACATGGGGAGAAACATGGTTTAAGTTGTTAGGTATGAGCTTTGATGTTAATCTTGATAGAACTGTAAAAACTAATTATGATGAAAAAATTGTACAAATAAAATGTGTAATTAAATAATGGTCAAACCGAAATCTTACTGTTATTGGTAGAATTACTGTGGTAAAGACATTGATATTGCCTATGTTAAATCATTTGTTTATATCTTTACCAAATCCAAGTGAAGATATTTTAAAAAATGTTATTGAACTTATGTACCATTTTATATGGAGTTCACCAATTGATAGAATAAAGAGAGATGTTTTACAAAATGATATTGAAGATAGTGGACTCAAAATGATAAATGATAAATGCATTTATTTTAGGTCTGAAGTGTACATGGCTAAGGAGATTATTTAAAACAGACAACAAATGGCAGAATGTTTTTTTGTCAAATGTTCATGTAGACCTTGAAAAATTTTATGGTTTTGGAAGTGTTTATATACAAAAATAACAACAAAATATCAAAAATAAATTTTGGCAAGATGTTCTGAAAGCATGGCAACTTCTCAGAGAAAAAGATGAATATGACAGTTGGGAATGCTTTCTTGCTAGTCCAATCTGGCTTAACAATAATATAAAGGTAGAAAATAAACCTATTTTTTATAAAGATTGGTTTGAAAATGGTATAAGATTTATAAATGATATTGTAAATGAAGATGGGACTTTTTTCTCTCTTCAAAAATTAGAAGAAATGTATCAGATAAATGTGAATTTCATGAGATATAATAGTATTATATCTGCTGTACATCAAGCATCAAAATCATTTGTGGGAAAAAAATCGCAACGTTTTTTTCATTTTTTAAATATCTTTTATTGAAATTTGGGAATTTGACAAATTTTTAACTTTGGTAGAACCCTACAGGTAAACAAATATAAGACGTTTTTAAACTAGAGACA